AGCCAAAAACCTCAATGAAGCCAAAGCTGACCAAAAGAATTCAACTTGTGCTGCATGAAGTTTGTTGTCCAACGTTGTGGAACATATTGGCACATTTCATAGTGTTTAGCCCAAAATTTTATCTGCAGTTTCAAATCAGATTAAATGTAATTATATCAGACATTGTAATGCTTATTGTTGCATCACTGCTTTCTTTCGGAGAGTACTGCTTGACCTGAAAACCGTTGACTTTTTGATGTGGCCGCCGTGGATATAGTACATCGTGTACACATTGACATATATTCAAAGCAATCCATCTGTTTTCATTGGTCTGTGAAGTAGCTACCAGGTGCTGTTATTGTTGCTTTTACAGGTGTAGTCATATGAACCTTAAAAATGTTTAATCTGCTGCTCATTTGACTGCTACTATGCGCTCACTGGCGGATTGTTTATTATGTTGTAAACATGCTGTAATAAGCCTTTGCTAAGAGGCCGCTGTGTTTCTGAATGATATGTGCTCTGTTCCCTTTGTGTAAGCTCGGGCTCAAATTCCCACCTTTCAAGGTCGGGTTATACACCTAAGTGGTAAACCCAGTTTGAGGAACGCGAGCTGAAACATGATACCATGCACAATGTGCAGCCGGTGTACCCTGGAGTATTGATAGGAAGATTTCTGTGAAAAATGCATTAGTTATTGCAGATATTTACATTGTATTTTATTACCAGGAAAAAGTCTGTCAGAGACTACTGAGAACAGGGAAAGGAAGGAAGGAAAAGAAAGAAACAAATCATGTGAACAGCCTCTTTCACACCGGGGTCAAAGCATAGAATTCCAAGTCATCTCTTTGGTTTCACAAGACTCACCACAAGTGTAACCTGAGCGAGAGGTAAACAAGTCCTCTGCACAGCAGAGCGGGGAGGTGTGAAAGGGGGTAGTTCTGTACATGAGACATTTCATCAGGGTTGTTTGGGCCTCCTGTCTCGGCACTACATTTGACACCTGCAGGTGACAGACTCTCAGGACAACTCAGTGTCCGCTGCCTGGATCAGTTTTCTCCGAGGTGCGATAACATGGACAAAAGACAAGGAGGAAGAAACATAATAAGTTTAAGCCCCTGGCTGTAATCCATACTGTTCATACTGTATCCAGCCGGCACTCATTAAATGAAAGCCATTCTCCAAATTTCTACTATTGATGAAAACACCCATCAACAACCATTCATCTTTTATGCAGGGCTCTGTCTACCTCTCCCCAGTCACCTCCTCTAGTTTATCTGGGAGAACACTGAGGCCTTCTCAGGCCAGCCAAGAGATATAATGTCTCCAGTGTGTCCTGCGTCTACACTCACACCTCCACCCAAAAGGACGTGCCCAGAACACCTCACCCACGAGGCAACCATCCTCGTCGGTCGCCCCAACTACCTCTTCCTCCTACTCCTGCCATTGTGGATGAGTAGTAGCTCTGAGCCTCTCTCGAATGACAGAACTCCTAGTCCTGTCTCTAAGGGAGAGGTTTTTGTCTGAGCGTTGATGAAAACATGTTGTTTTGCTCTCCTGCTGGGGTGAATCCAAAACATTATTTGTTGTTTTTTAGGAAGTTTTCAGCAGACAAGACTGAAGCAAACTTTTTAATGTTCTGGGAGCAGAACATTAATACAATCATAACGTAACTCATTACTGGGGATGACAGATTTGTTTCACTTGCATTCCTCCAGGTCTAACCGGAATGAGCTGATGCCCAGGAGATCCAGGTGGATTGAGAAACCACATTCCTCCATGCGGTGGAGGAGAAGGTCAAAATCGCATGGGCTAAAGACACATCTCGTTTTGTTTTATTTTTGCATTTATGCAGGCTGTGTACAGTACATAAACTATATTGCGAAATTACCTCAGGGCTATATCGCTGTTAAAAGCATTTCAGTTTTGCTTGTTACTTCGCAATCTGAAGGCGTAAAGAGAGGGTAAGAGGTGAGGAGCGGCACGGGAGGTCGAATCTGTGCAAAAGAAACTTTTACGAGACCTCCCTAACGACTATTCTGACCAAAGTCGAAACGTACTAAACATGCAGCGCCGTTTTGGATTTTTTGAGAAAATATCTGTTAAAACATTCTTCTCTCACAGCAGCGGCTGGCTTGCGCTGCCTTTTTCAAATGAGAAAACATCTCCGATCACATGTAATTCTTTGCAGGAGCTTCAGTAGCTTCACAGTGCAGCTGACAGTGTAGAAAGTAAATATGACACGGTGATTAAAATGGATGAAGTATTATGAGGACCATAGGACCAGCAATTAACTGCGTATTTGCTTTGATTACATATTCAGCAGCCACCACCTACGCACACAGTGATGTGAACAGAAGTTGCTAGGAGCACGTTGTTCGCTGCATGATTAAAAATACTTTTATCTATTAACTTTGTTCACTCCACTTTTCAAAATACCTGTGGCTCTACCTTCTACTTTGAAAATCACACCTATCAGAGAAAATGCAATTTCGGGTACCGTGAGATCAAATTAAAGTCCTTGCTGCAGCACTAGTTAACTGCTGCGGTGGTCAACGCGTTCACACACCCTCAGGCGATTTTCATATTAACGGGAAAATCAAATTTCCCATTTTGATTATTCTCAGAGTGGCCACAGCTTCACCTCACACTTAGCCAGAGCTCCCAGAGAACATGTGAAACAATCGCACAAAAGCATTAAACCTCACTGAGTTATAACTGAACAAACACTGTTTCTGGGAGGAGGCAAACAAAGCTACCAATAACCAACTTTTACAGTCAGGGTAAAAAGGAAGAACACCATCTTTCAATTCTAAGAATTTACATATCAGGACATAATAAAAAAAAGTATTTGGTCTTTGGCAAGTCTTAAAAAGAGGTCAATGCAACATTGGACAAATAACGCATGACATATCACAAATGCCTTTTTTATTTACCAAAAACCAAGACAAAATGCAGGAGCAAGTTAAATACACCCCACTGCTTGCATAGCTTAGGAAGGGAAGTAGCAGTCAGATGCTCCACAGTTCCAAACAATTTGAAGTGTGTCATTCAACAACGAGAAAGTTTATTCACAAGTGGAAAACATTCAGGACAGCCGGCCATTTTCCCCAGGAGTGGATGTCCCAGCAAATCCACCCAAAGGCCAAATTGTGCAATGCTCAGAGAAACTGACACTCAGACTCTGCAGGCCTCAGTTAGTATGTTAAAGTTCATGACAATACAATCAGAAAAAGACTGAAAAAGTATGGCTTGTTTGGAAGAGTTGCATCTGAACAAGCTACAAGATGTCTGGGACAATGTCCTTTAGACACATGAGACTAAAGTTCAAGGTTCAAGGTTCTTTATTATTTGTCACATGCATAGTTATACAAGTATAACACACAGTGAAATGTAGCCTGACACGCTCCTCGACATGTGCAAA